GTGGCCCTTACCGTGCTGCCAGCAGCAGTGCCCGACCCTGGCCAGTCTCGGGGCTGAGCGGTTTGGTGCCACATGGCAGCGGGGCCCACGTCCGTGGTCCTGCCGGTCCCAGCAGACTGGCCATGGAGACCAGTCCTAGCCCCACCGTGATGCAGTCAGGTGCTCACCCTTCGTCCCGCTGCCACAGCCTGGCCCACGTAGGCCTGGCAGCCCCTCCTCTGAGGCTGCGAGGTCCTCACGGGTGGGGTGGGTGTTGGAGCTGCCAGTCCGTGTTTCTGCATCGGTGCATTGCCGCAGGCACGGCGTGGGACTAGGGTAGAGGCTTTCCACTTCATACCAGAGCGTGGGCACTGCTGTTTTAATTGCAGGACGAAGGTAAACACAAAGCCCTAAAGTCATCTCAAGCGTTCTTTTCTCAACTACAAGATCAAGTGAAAATGCAAATTAGTGATGCGAAGAAAACAGAAAAGAAGAAGAAGAAACGGGATATTTCTGTTCATAAGCTGAAACTGATGTCTTGAATACAGCGTAAATACTGTCACGTAGGCTTACATTCTGTCGCTGTTGTGTTTTCTAATAAAAGTGTTGAGGGGACAGCGGATGGTGTAGTGGTTGTCACCAATCTCCCATGTGGTCAACTGTAGTTCAAATCCTGAACCTGGTGGCTTAAAACCGTCGTTAGTGTGTGCGCCCAGAATCTAGAGGAGAAGAGAAGGGATTGTGACGTGCCCATCCCTCCAGGGAGTGATTTCTCACTTTCCCTCTGTCTCTGTCTCTCTGGTAAGTGCACATGCCCTATGGCCAAAAAATTAAATTAAATTTAAAAATATCTCTTAAGGGGCCAGCAGGTGGTGTGGTGGATGAGGGCGCTGGATTCCCACATGACCAACCATGGTTCAAGTCCCAGACCTGGTGGCTTGCTTTCTCACTTTCCCTTTCTCTCTCTCTCTCTCTCTCTCTTGTCAAATCAAAAAAAAATAATAACAATAACAAATGGAAATAAATAATTCTTTTTAAAAAAAATCTCTCTTAAAAAAAAAAAGTTCTGAGAACCTTTTGTATCCATAGCTGAGAAGTCCATGGTGTGCAAAGACCAATCCCAGCTGTGCTGGAAAAGCCTCCCGTCTTTCCTGATGGGAGCAGGACCCAGCCCCAGGTCCCTCCTGCTCTGGTGCTGCCCAGGCTGATCCCGGGCCGGCGAGTATGGGACAGCCAGCCTGCGGGCTGGCAAGGACGTGGCCCACAGTGATCACAGCCAGCCGTCTGCAGCACAGGCCTCCGTGGGTCTGGGTTCCTTCCCCACTGCCCTCATGGCACTGCCACATTGGCTCCCAGGGTTTACCATGTGAATTTTTGGTGATGCGTTCTGGTCACGCCACCAATCAGTACTGTGTTTTGATTTTCCCCAAGTTTTATTGAAAACAGTTCTCAGGAGCAGCAAATGGTGTAATGGTTACGTTGCTGGACTCCCACTCAGGCGACCGTGGTTCGAGTCCTGGACCCGGCGGCTTACAGTTCATGCGTGCCCCAAATCCCAAGATGATAGAGAAGGGACTATGGCCTGGCCATCCCCCCTGGGGGCGCCTCCCTGTATGTCCTTGGGACGATTCGCGTGGCGTGTCCTTGGAGCGGGTGCACCTGTCCAGCGTGTGTGGGTACTGCGTCCCAGCTGGGAAGCACAGTGAACACGGAGCCCTGACTGCAAGGACATTCCGGGTCAGGCTGGGGTCCAGCCGTCCCAGCCCTCAGCTGTTGGCAGCCAGGCAGGTCCCCAGGCTGCGTGGGAATGACCGCAGGAGCAGGTGACGCGGATCCCTGCTCCCCCACCGCCCTGCCGCTCCCTGCTCTGGCGGGTGCCCCGTGGGATGCCCCAGGTGGCCAGTGAGCAGAGCAGTCCTTGCAGCCCAGCCGGCTCAGCCCACCTGCCCAAGTGCCCCGGCCGAGCCGCAGGTGTTCTGGCACAGCCCACGTGGTTCCCTGCGGCCC